CCCCACCCCACCCCACCCCACTCACTCAAAAATTAACACCTCACAGCTCTCAGCCACTAACCTCCCCCCTCTTTTTTGAAGACTCCAGCCAACAGTCTCCCTCCCCCACCTCTGTCTTGTCCCTTTCAGCTCTCCAGGTGAGGAATGAGCGGCGAAGGATCAAGGTGCAAAAAGCTGCGGGTCCAGAAGGTATCAGCTCCAGGCTCCTGAGGTGCTGCGCAGATGAACTGTGTGGCATCATGGGAACAATGTTCAACCTGAGCCTGAAGCTGGGGAAAGTACRACAACTGTGAAAGACCTCCTGTGTGGTACCGGTACCAAAGACCAAACACCCAAAGGACCTCAGCAGCTACAGGCCAGTAGCTCTGACATCTCATCTGATGAAGACCCTGGAGAGGCTGGTCCTCATCCATCTACGCACCRTGGTGAGGTCTTCATTGGATCCACTACAGTTTGCCTACCAGCCTGGCATCGGGGTGGATGATGCCATCACCTACCTTAWGCACCACACTCTGACTCACCTGCAGCAGCCTGGAAGCACTGTGAGGATCATGTTCTTTGATTTCTCCAGTGCTTTCAACATCATCCAGCCAGGACTTCTGAGGGACAAGCTGGAGCTGTTTGGAGTGGACCACCACATGTCCCAGTGGATTCTGGACTACCTGATGGATRACCCTCAGTATGTGAGGACACACGGCTGTGTCTRGGACATGCTGGTCTGCAGTAAGGGGGTTCCTCAGGGAACAGTGCTGGCACCGTTCCTGTTCACCCTCTACACTGCAGAGTTCACCATCAACACCCCGGGCTGCCACCTCCAGAAGTTCTCTGARGACTCTGCCATAGTCGATCTCATCACAGGTGAGGARGACTCAGAGTACYGACAGTGGACTCAGGACTTTGTGGACTGGTGCCAGCAGAACCACCTCCTYATCAATGCCGCTAAAACCAAGGAGCTGGTGATGGATTTCCGTAGGCACAGACTCACCCCACTGACACCGGTGAACATCCAGGGAGTGGACATTGAGATAGTGGACWCTTATAAGTACCTGGGTGTTGACCTGAACAATAAACTAGACTGGACTCACAACACAGATGCTCTTTACAGGAATGGTCAGAGCAGACTCTACCTGCTGAGGAGGCTGAGGTCTTTTGGAGTGCAGGGGTCGCTCCTGAAGACCTTCTTTGACACAGTTGTGGCTTCAGCCATCTTTTATGGCATTGTCTGTTGGAGCAGCAGCTTATCTACAGCTGACAGGAAGCAGCTGGATAAGCTCATCAGGAAGGCCAGCTCTGTGCTGGGATGCCCCCTTCAACCAGCGCAGGTGGTGGGAGATAGAAGAACTCAGACTAAAATAACATCACTGACAGAGAACCCCTCCCACCCAGTGCATGGAACTGTAGCTGATCTGCAGAGCTCCTTCAGTGACAGACTGCTGCATCCTAAATGCACAAAAGAACGCTACGGCAGATCATTTCTCCCATCAGCTGTTAGACTTTATAACTATCACTGCTCGCAACAATCATAAGCATACATGTTTGTGTTTGCACATCAAACAACTCTATCTCGCAATCATTACACAMATAATAAACAATAATAATAATTGTTCACTGTTTTTCCTGTACTGGACTTAATGAATGAGTCTGAAACAATTTGCACACCCCCCGAGTTCGACTCAATTTGCACAGACCAAGTTTGAATCATTTTGCACYAGRCTGTCATGACAGTTATTTCCTGTAATTATTTATCTTTCTGCACATCAGCTTGCCTTTTTTTACATTATTTTTATCTAATTTTTCCTTGATGMGCCGGTACTACCAGTACAGTAATAATTACTCTTCTTTTGACATTGATCTATGTTTGTTTTGATTGTTACAACCTTTAATCTTTAATTCTATTATTTTTGCTACTATTGATATTGTCAATGGCAACATACTGTTTTGTTCTGTGGATTGATGTTTGTACATGCTGCTGCTAGTACACCGGAATTTCCGCTCACGGGACAATAAAGGCTGTTTCTATTCTATTTCTATTCTATTCTAAGATCAACCTTCAGGGTGGATATAGCTCGCTAGCAGCCTCGCACCGAGGACCTATACACGTCATCATTTACCCAGAATGCTTTGCGTGTAAATAAAATGGCTCCGTCCGTGTTAAAATATATTTTAAAAAATTTATAAAACTTAACAGGCTACAGTATTTTTACAGTCTTTATTTTACAGTTAAAATATGTGTTTATCAAATAAAGTCTAATGTTACAACTAARCAGGGATCCCTTTAACTACATTTTTTTATCTGTTAGACTGACTGATTTCTCTATTAAAATAACTATRTCTTTCAAAAAGTTTAAATTATTTAGAGAGCTCATGTAATCATTTAATACTATTTATTCTTCAAAACTGATTATTTATTGAATCAGAGCAGTTAKGTCACAGCATGGTTCTAAATATAAGCAAGCTATATTGTGAAGAATGAAATTTGTAGGTTTTATGATAAAATACATAGCGGGAACATAGCAGGTTTTTTGTGTGTGTGTGTGGGGATAACGCTAAACGGAGACTTGTCTTTTCTACAATATGGGACAAACAAATGTTCACCTGTTAAGAGTTAATGTTTCATGGAAGAGCTGAAACAGCAGCTCCCACAGAACTCAGTTTGTGTGCACCTCGGCGCGCTCCCTAACAGCGCTGTCGTGGACAGGAGTTTAGTCACATGAGCAAAGTTGGACATATCCATTAGAGAACGACACTCTGAACACATAAACGTTAGATTTTAGATACTGTATCAARGTCTCGGGTAGCTCGGGAGTGAAGTGTGGAAGACGGGGTTTGCTCACTCGGGAKAGGAGCTGCAGGCTGACCGGTGTTCATCATGCAGACTGCTTCATGAACATCAGAAAGACCCACCCTGCTCTGCTCTGATTGGATAAAGCTGTGGGGTTCATTTGATTTGTTGAAAGCAGCYTCTGTTTAAACCTGTAGCAGACTGGGCGGCTTTAATGAGACCGCAATAGAAAACAAGCAGGTTTCTCTTTTCCTCATTTTTTWAAATACAGAAAATACCGACATGGGTCAAATGACGGTTATTGTCATAAATGTCGGTATCYGTTATTTTTTGGTTTATCYCCCAGGCCTACTCATAGTTGAGGTCTAACTATGATGTCAATTACAGGCCTCTTTCAACTTTTTTAAGTGGYAGAACTTGAACAATTGGTGGCTGACTTAATTCTTTTTTCGCCACTGTAATTGTGATTTTAAGGTCTTTGCACAGCAGCAGTTAAGGAGGCCAGTGTTACACAGAATAAAACAACTGTTTTTCTTACCTCCTTAAAGTCTTTGACAGTTTTGAAGTAGAGTCTCTGCTTGTCGAGCAGCTCCGAATACTCATCGTTTAACTGATCTCTCCTCATTTTGTTCTCCTGCTTCTTTTTCTCCATCTCAATTTTCAGACAAAAGAAATGRGTAGTTAGATCCTAAAAGCTCTATGTGTTGATACTTTTAACACCAGTGTCATTGAAATGGTGGTTCATTAATAATGAATCAAAGTTTCAGTCACATATCAAGACAAACACTTGAACCATGTCAACTAAAGTAACATGATGAGTTACATCCATTAGTTTTCAACACAGTGTCCATGAAATATGTTTATCTGGTTCCACAGCTAGAAGTACCACAGTARCAATAATACCACAGGTGTATGTGACTTCTGATTCAGTGCCTCAAATATAATGTGGCTGAGGGTAGAGTGGATAAGTGAATCAATGGTAGTTGTTTAATGTCTTAGTGGTACAGTATTACAGTGCCTCAGAGGAACAATGTCTCAGTTGTACAGTGAACATTTCAGAAGTACAGTGATTCACTGGTTCAAAGATACAGTGGCTCAATGAAGCAARAGTATTATGGACTGGATGAACACCGGTACAGTGGTTCAGTGACAGTATTTTAGTGCCTCAGTACAGTACAGTACAGCTGCACAAATGTTCAGTCCTGCTGTGGTACAGTGGTTCAATGTTTGCATGGTAGACAATTCAAATCTTCTTAATAGCTCACTTTAATGTGRTAAGTCTGGATAAAAATACAAGCAACTTTAATTATTTTAGTGTTGTTGACAAAGAAATTATGGCTGTATTTTTTGTATTATGTCTTATTTTCATGAGTGTAKACATTTAATCTTTGAGAGCTCATTTGTAACAGTGCAGACAAAACCTTTTAGAGGGAGGTTTTTACCTTAATGCGACCCTGTTTAATTCCCTCCACTATCTGCTCCATCTGTCTGAGGAACTGTTCCTTAGCTGCTGCAGACGACATGCCTCTGTAAAATCAGTAGAACTGGTTGGTCACTGACTGAAGACAGGAAACAGATTCTAATACACAAAGCAGATTATCTGTACTCACTGTTGGAAGTTGTCATGAATTGAATTCAGCAGAGTGACCTGCATAGGTGAACCAATTTGTACCAAAATGAATATCAGAAACCTTACTGACCAAACAGACACACCTAATATCTGAGCATCCACTAAAATCTGATATAGTTACGTACCTCCTTCTCCAGATAGACCTTCTTATCATCTAAGGTGTTGTACAGAGTGAAGAACTGCTTGGTCTCTGTGTGTGTTGCAGAAACTGGAAGGTACAACACAAATGAGATACAATGGAGAGATGCAAAGAATGCGTGTGCTGTATAAACTAAAARCCTGGTTTGAGCAGATACCAAAGAGGAACTCACCTTGGCTGTACAGTTCGATAAATCTCTTTTGGTACTGGGTCAACTCAGCCCGGCTAGGTATCTCATCTATCTTTCTCTGCAGTACCGCAATTTCACGGTTTCTCCGAGCCTATGCAGAGTAAAGACAATCCTAGGTTAAAATACCCTAAAGGGGAAAGCATTTATAACACGAAAAACATAGCCCAACTTATTTTGGTTAACCACATTCCAGCAGGAGCTGCCCAACTTCCTGTCAATGGAAAGCAAATTCCTGTCAAAAAAGAAGATGATCCCCTCAATGGAAAACAAAATATTGTCAATGGAGAACAATTAKCCGTCAATAGAGATTAAATTTATGTCAAAGCAGAACAAACTCACATCAACAATACKCTGTCAAGAAAAGCAACTCTGCACCAATGGGAGTCAACAAACAATTAACGGAAAACAAAATTCCATCGATTAAGGACAAGATCCTGTCAACGAGAAAGAATGTCTCATCAACAAACTGTACCCTCAGCCCAGTCAGGTCCACCACAGAAAACGTTCTGGTGCTTTCTGTGTAAATATCTCTCATGTTAACAACTACGAGGACAGATTTAGTAAAKCGGTACCAGAACCAAAAAACTACTCAGTCTCACAAATGAGATACAAGATGTTCTGTTGTTATGCTGATGGACTGGATTCTACATGAACGCAGTCAGATACAAGTAAATGGTGAAATAACTCTAAACAGCTGATAAAACCAATGCCATGTGTAAAATCAGAAAAGCCTGCTGTAATTCAGTGCGAACCGTGTGTTCTTATTGTGTTCCCACAGCAGACTCCTGTCTAAGGAACATTATCTCCTGCTGTGACCCATTTGCTTGCAGAGATTGCTCCAGTCTCATCTTATCAAGTAATTACCATGAGCAGGCGGATCTTCTGGAGCTTCTCCATGTCTGAGTCATACTGTTTCTCTATCAGCTGGCTCCTCTCCTGAGAAAACAAATAGTTTTTTTAATTTGTATTATAAAAAAAAATGGCAGACTTATTTAATAAAGAAGCAATTTTCTTTCTCATTAAAGTAACTGTAAAACAAACTTTCTCATCCTCCGTTTCTTGTCCCGATGAAGACTTTAACTCCTCTATGTTCAGCTGCAAACGTGACATTTCTTCCTGTATAATTTACATATTAACACTGAATTAAAACCCAACTAAAACAAAGACAAATGAGCACAGAGAAGATTAGTAATGAAATGGTTTGTGTCCTCACCTTACAGTGTGAGCGAAACTCCTGCTCCTGCTTCTTGAGGTTCTCGCTCATTGTCACTAAAAATCTGAGCTTCTCCAAAAGGCTGGTAAATAGAACAAAACATGCTATGTTTTAATTTCCTGTATATACAGTAAGTAAGGAMGTGCCACTTTATACAAACATGCAGACTGTGATCCAATTTTGTCATTATTATTATAAAGCTGAAAGATCATCTCAGCTGGAAGATCTGAGAATTTCCGTGAAGCATTGTTAAATTAGCTAAAGTTCTGTCATTTTTAAAACTGAGGTCTGACGATCTTCAGAAAACATTAAGTGTGCACAAACTTTGTTCTATAACTTAAAAAGGCTCACCTACTGTCCACTTGATCCTCTGTGTCATCTAAAGAGTTCAGCTCTCTCTCGACCTTCTCTGACTGCTCGGTAGCCTGAGAATATATTGAAACTTTTAGACTTCCCCTTCTCATCCTTTATCTTTCTTTATATACATTCAATTAATGCAGCAGACAGAACTGAAACATTTTGTTTTAAACCAAGTAATAACATGGGGATGACCTTACGAATCAAAAATCCAATGTTGTGTAATAAATCCTAACTCAATTATACCATGTTTTTTAAAACAAATTACACTAACAATAACATATCGTAGCCTCCCTTCATGATAGTTCATGTGGGTGGCGATGGCAGAGTGGTTAGGGGAGTCATCCTGGAAACTGTAGGTCGCCGGTTCAAGCCCCTGTTCCAGCTGTCTCAGTTGTGTCCTTGGGCAAGACACTTCACTTCCAATGCCTCGGATGTGTCCCATCAGTATATGAATGTTACTGGCACTGATTAGTCTCCACAGATGATWTAATAAGACATGTGAATGGGTAAATGAGGGCACAGATTGTAGTGWGAAGRGCTTTGAGTATCCTGGTCTGAATCAAAGTTTTGCCGATATCCAAGTCCCGCCCCCATCTGATTTTTGATTGGCCAGTAGGCCTGTCTAGTGTGTTTAAAGTGAAAGCTGTACTTCTGATAGGGRTGGAGAAATGTCTGTTAAATATTTGGTCCTGCAAGTCTTTTTTTCCCCCTGGAGGTAAGACGAAAATACAGCACAGTGCCAGAATACTATCAGCCCTGATATACTTCTCATGTTACAACTCTGTGATGCACATATCGACGGTGTAGTCAGGGAGACATAATAATAATAATGCATTAGTTTTATATAGAGCTTTTCGAGACCCTCAAAGATGCTTTACAATTTTCATGCATCATTCATTCACACTCACATTCACACACTGATGGCATGGGCCAAGGTGGACATGCATACATGAGCTTGGATCCCGATCATTACTGCTTTAATTTATTACTTTTGTTGGATTCTAAATATTTGTGACCATTGTGGGTTTTTCTTTCATTAAACCTGGGGGGGGGTTAGAATGGTTGCGTCAGGAGATCTCCAGTGTCACCCGTTATGGTGACCTGGGGGAAGTAGAGCAACGACCTGTACTTTTTCAAGGAAGCAYCATCAAGCCTCTTGAAGGCAATTTGTGATAAATAAATGGAAGTCTGAATAACATAACAGAAAWCCAGTTGAATCTCTTCTAAAAACTTTATTCTCGTTGCTGACTTCTTTCAGCTCTATGGCAGTACACAGAAGTCAGGCTTCAGTCAGCCAGAAGGCCTTGGCACCTTATCTGAACATAAACTAATAACATAAAACTAATAAACTCTCAGGTGCAGCGTCTGTCCCAGGCTGAATCTAAGGGAGGGACTGCACACAAGAACTAACAAAAAACCTCTTCTCACATTATGATGAATCAGCTTTTAACATGTGTCTCTTCCTGGTTACACCCCTGAAGGTTAGAACGTAACCAACTTTGTTTTTTATGAAGACAGAACACATCGATAAGACACACTTACAGTATATTCTCTGTTTTAAAACTTATGGCTGCAATGATAAGAAAGTATAAAAATACAGAACTAAATCTAACATTCAGTTAATAAGTCACAAATTTTTTCTTCATTCTGGTTCTACAGCTGTGGTGGGCGATAGTRATGAGTCAATTAAAAATGCATGTACTTTTCATTTAATTTTATCCACATTATGTTGAGATAATAACATAAGCAGCACAGGTCTGTCACATTCATATCACAGGTCTAAATGAGTGAATACTTGTGCAGCTTTTTCACAAGTTGATTACTTGAGGGGAAAAAAATCCCACACAAAATAGAAGCATACAGAGACAGAAATACACAGGAGGTTATTTTAAGAATTTAGATGAGTTAATGTTATCCAACTGTACCTAAAGTTTGTACGTTAAGGCCATTTTTAAAAAGTTTGAAGTAGAAATGCGCAATATAGCATAAAATTAATACTGCGATATCCTTTGCAATTTGTGGCAGTAACAATATCATGGTATGTTTTTGGTATAAAACCTAAAATAAAAAAGCAAAGGATGTCATTTTGACATTTATTTTTTGAAAACTGTTATTTCACAAAATAATCTCAATCCAGAAAATTCAAATACTAGTACTACAGAGGTTTTATTAAAAAAAAGTATAGGCTTATTTCTTGTAGTGCTTCTGTTTAGCCTTTTTCAAATCATCGGTGGCTTTTTAGTCATTTAAAAAATGTTTAACATTCTCCATACCATATATATATA